ATATTTTGGAGGTTACTCTGAATCTAAGATTTCTCCAAATTATTCTATTCTCTCTTTCTCGGATTAAACTTAAATTGGATCATTAATGTTTTAAACCTATTTTATCAAAATTGGACCACAAAAACTATGAACTTGTACTACCACAGACACTTCATTTTGTCATTCATCCCTTTCATTAACTACGCTCAATCTTTATTGATTGGCAATTTAACATCAAGTTTATTATCATCAGGATCTATATTTCAATCATTTATACATATAAAGAAAATCTACAATACAACATCACACATAGTTATCATCAACATTAATTAGAAGTTTTATTTACAATTAAATGGATGAAATCTAAAACACAAATTTAAAGTTTCAAAATTTAACCAAAATTCACCACCCTTTAATTCACTCTCAATAACATGCTATTCTTTTGTTTTTTTAAATATAGTAATACAATATATACAAAATAGTATATTTTAAAACAAATAACACAGCATGAATTTATAAACCTAAAATTTAAACTTCACTTAAAAGTGTCGTAAATTCTATCATATAATAAAAGTCTATTATACATTAAACAATTTTATTATAAAATTAAAAATAATAAATAAAAATCATCAATAATTATAAATTGTAACAACCCAAATTATACCAATATATTTACATTCAGAAAATCATTTAAAATAATAACTCAATTAACATATAGAAATATATACATTACTTTTAAAAAAATAAAAGTTAAGAAAAAAAACTTATTATTATTCCTTAAATTTACCACATATGTTATCTATTTCTATATAAAACATTTTTCGTACACAAAATAAAAACATTTAAAGAGGAATATTAATTTAACATAGTACATAATTTAATAAAACATTTTTACATTTTTTATCGTTATATAATTTAATTCTACAGTTATACAACCTCCCATAGATACTTAAATATTTCCGAAACATTTAATATTAAATATTAGATATATTTATGTTTATCATACCTCAATTCCTAGGTACATAACACAAAAATATTTAATAATTTAGGATATATTTGCATGTAATATTTTTAAATAATTTATTAAGATGTTTTTTTTTCACACAATCATTATAAAATTTTTAATATATTTTTTAATTCATAAAACAACGAAATATTTTATTTTATTTTTTTATTTATTTTTTCTCTATTTTTATATATATATATATATATATATATATTTTTTTTTTTTTCAAAACTACACAAGTCATACATGTTTGAAAGAACATTTTTCATATAACTTCATAAAACGTTGAAATTTTTTAATGTAATTTACATAATTTATAATTATATAAGATAATAGTGAATAACAATATAGTTTTTTATATTATAAACTTAAACTCATTTGAAAAAAAAAAATACTATTTCTATCTTATTTTTTTCATCACTGTTATTGCTGTTGATATAACTACATTACAATGTAGTGGAATAAAAAGGATTGGATGTATATTTTATATTATAAGGGTTGAGATAAGTCAAAATAACATGTGCAGATAAAGTATCCTATGCGTATAGCGGTACAAGGATATACTATTTATTATTCTCATGGAAGCAAAACGACACAACGGTTATTTTTTCCTCAAACCAAATTAAAACTGTATTTTTCTGACACATCTTTTCATATTTTTTATATTATATTACAAAAAATAGAATTAAAAAATATATATATATATATATAAATATCTAAAAATTATAAATCCTCAAGTGTTCCTTATATTCAATTTGATTATGATTTGATGTTATAATTAAACAATCAATTTAAATGATATTTTACTTTTTAATTTTTATCAAATAAAGTTATTATTTTACTATTTAATTCAAATGATTTTTATGATTTTTTATTATAAAATTGTTAAACATATTATAATAAAATAATTATTTAATAAATAAAAATATTATAAAATACAGTAAATAACTTATAATAATTTTTATATTTAATTTAAAATATAATAACTCTTATAATAAATTTATTTATTCATAATAATTATATTTTATATTCTATATTTTAATTTTAATAATATAAATAATTATTATTTTAAGAACATCATGGTACAAAATTATTTTAAGGAGAAGATTAATTAGGTTATAAAATAAGATCTGATAAGTATTAATTAATAAAATAGTATAATTTTGTTTGATAAGTATTAGTTAATAAAATATTATAATTTTGATTGAATTCGATTATTTTTATCTGTTAAACAAAAATTAAATCAAATTATTTTATTTAAAAAATAATAATTAAAAAATTAAATAAAATCATTTTTTACTTTATTTTTGGATGCTTCAGATTTAGACACCCTTATTTGTGTTTTTAAATGAAATATAATTTAAATATTTTAACTACATATTGGAAGTTTTTCTTCTTCTTAATTTTATGATTAAATATTTAAAATTTACAAAATAACTAGTTTTGACTAAATAAATTGAAGTTTCACAAATAATAATAAATATTAGTTAAAACTATGTGAAGTAATAATTATATAATAATAAGTATAAATTTTAAAATAATACAAGAAAGTAAGATAAACTATAAAATATTTTAAAATATAAAATGATTCGAAACAAATGATTTTCTTTTTAAATGAGATAAAAATTTAATTATAAAATGAAATAACATAAATAATAAAAAAACATAAAAATTAAAGATGGAAATAATATATATATATATATAATTAATAATAACATAATTAATTTTTCATAATCATGACTTTAAATATTAGGGAAGTTTATAATATTTATATAATATATTTTGTAAATAAATATAATTATAAATATTTATATTTATAGATTTTGGTCCGCATTTACTTTATATATATATATATATATATATATATATATATATAAGGTATTTAATTTTTACTCTAAACTAACTATTATAATTTATAATACATAAATTATGTCATTATTATATTTACAAATAAAAAGCATTTGAAATTTTTATAATTGTTTCTGCTATTATATAAACTATTTCATTGATCACATTATTTTTTTTTATTGAAAATTTTGAAAATCTTAATTTAATTAGTTTTTTTTATACTTCTATATAAGTCTCCTAATTGATTTTTGGTTTCCAAGATTGATTATCTTGTTCTTTTTTTATTATTAATTTTCATATATTTCATATATATATATATATATATATATATATATATATATAAAGAATACTAAGAAGATATTTAAAAAAAATTAAAATTATTCATACTAAAAGTTCATATTGTGATGAAGTGCAGTTAATGCAAAGACTTGCATAGTTTTCAGAAGCCACCAACCAATAATTCATTCATGGAAATTGGCCAAGGAGAAGAAAACAACTAAAGACATTTCAAGTTCTCATTTGTTGGCTTCCTCTACATTGTTTGGACAGGGATTTAAGGGATTCATCGATACTATTTATGATTTAAATCAATTGCGTCCCAAACTTGGCTACTTTGTACTAATATTTATCTATCTACTGTAGGGATCGGGGAGCGGGAGTGGATTTGCCTCCCCTATCCGGTCTCCCAACTTTTTTAATCATCCTTCGTCCTCGATTTCCACGGGGTTATAAATGAAGACTCTATCCCTCATCTTTCTTGGGTTTCGGGTTTTCCGTTTCTCTCCTCATCCCGTTCTCGATCTATATTATTTAAAAAAAGATAATTACATTTATAATAAATTAATTTTACTATATATTTTTTATATATAAATAAATATTTATAATTTTATAATTTATAATAATTAATAATTAAATAGACATTTTAATTTATTATATTTATATTAAAATATGTATGTAAAAGAAATATTTAATCATTTTTTATTTATAACGTTATTATTATTATTATTATAATATTATATTCAAATATTTGAATACTTATAACATTATTATTATTATTATTATAATATTGTATTCAAACATTTGATTATATACATAAGTTAATTCATTTTTAAGTTGTAATTTAAAAATATGAAATATATAGTCTATAATGAAATATTTAATAAGTTAATTATTATTCAATTAATTTAAAATAATAAAAGTTTAAATTATCAATTCCTTTAATCCTTTAAAATATAATTATTTTATTAAGATAAAATTTGATATATGATAAATAAGAATAATAAGATAAACAAATGACATAATAAAACCTAATAAATATAAATTATAAATAAAATAATATTAGTTACTATTAAGATTTATGTAAAATATTTAGAAAAAGATAAAGAATAAAAAAATTAACTGTGTTCATTAAATTGATTGAAAAGATTGAAAAAAATTGATGAGAGAGATTAAGAAAATATGAAAAACTACAAGGTATAAAAGAGAATAATATAATAAATTAATTGATATAAAAGATTAAAAAAATTAAAAAATAGGTAGAAGAAAAATAAAAATTGGTAAAATAAAAAAAAGACCTTATATGTAATAGAAAAAGAAAAGAAAATATTTTTAAAATATTAATATTTTAAAATTTAAATTTAAATATAAAGTCGGGACGGGGACGAGACCAGAGTCGGGATCGGGGTGGGGATTGCATTACCCATCTCCGCCCCCGCCCCCGACTTTTTAAAGCGGGAAAAACCCAAACCCGTCCCGCCGCCACGGTCAATCTCGGATTTTCCTCTTCAAACTCGAGACTGGAACGAGTCGGTCCTTACGGATACGAGTTTAATTGGAATCCCTTGTATACTGAATTGCATTGGGTAATCTCACCATTCTAATTGATTTTTTTATTTCTAAAAAAAATAAAAAAGCTTTTTAAAGGCGGCATCTTGGTATAGAATTTTCCTCTGTTATTTTCAACCAATCAGACTGTCATTTGTATAACAAATATCTATACCCTAAATAGTTTTACATTGTGATTTAATTATAAATAATTGGTGATTATACTTTGAGTGTATAAGTCTTTTCTCAATATTTATTATATTTAAATTAATTTGAAATGCAAATAAAGTGTAGTATCAAAATAAGGAAGGGAAAATTTGTCCAACTCAAAACAAACAAGGCCATGGAATTTCAACGGAACGGGTTTGATTGGTCCCCTCATAATTCAAAATCCGCAAGAATCCAACTGTTATTTTCCTTTGAGATGAATAAGCAGTCAAAATATTCAACAATCCCGTTTTATTATTTTGTTTAAATAATTCAAAAATATATATAATCCAATTTGCATGCTTAGGTAAGGGACACACCGCTTTATTGGCAGTGTGTCCTCTGTTCCCAGAATTGTGTCTGAGACTGTCTACAACGGATCTTACAACCCCATACTCACCCCCTTCTCTCTCTCTTACTCTTCCTGCTATTTCAAGAGTTGTACTGTTCGTTTTTTCTCTCTCTTCTAGTCAAGGGTTGGAGTTGGGACTATCGTTTTCTTGCTCTCGTGAAGTGCATGTGAAGCTTGCTGAGAGATCTGAGGTTTAATAATCCAAACGGGTCGCCTTCCTTTTTCTGATTCAGGCGTTTGAGGTGTTTGCCTTCTACTTTTTTCGCATATACTCTCTTCTTTATTTCTCTCTCTCTTTTTGCTCCCCCCTTTTGGAAGAAATGTTACATCATGTTCTTTATGGCTCTGCTTCATTAACTCCTTCTCATTTTGTCACACACTGGGGGATAACGTTGTTGGTACTTTTAGTGAGTGAGTCAGTGCACTTGTGTTGAGCTTTGAGATAATGGGGTTTTTGCTACTTCCCTTCTTTTTTGCTTGGTTAGCTTGAAAATTGTGCCTTGTGGTGTTTGAACCTGTTGGGTAGCGGCGCTGTTGTGTGGTCAACAAAGTTCCTTCCTTTTGGTTCTTTGGTTTGTTTAATGGGTTCCGGTGAATGTTCGGTTGTGTTTATGGAGTATGTGGTGGGGGGTTTTGGTGGTTGAAGATTCTTCTTGAAGGTTGTTTTTTGTTACTGGGTCGAATCTTGGTGGGTCTTAGTGTTGGGTTTTTTTGTTCATGGGATAAATGACCATGAGAGTCGCTGTTTCCCTTTTTGGGGAGTTTGAATTCTAGCCTTATTTTGGCATTTCCGGGGTCACTAATGGGTGTTGAAGATTGAGCATTTTTTTTTCATTTTGTTTATTATGCCATAATAGTGAAAGCCTGGCACTGTTATAGGCAAAAATGAGCGTTTGTCTGAGTTGTTTTATTAATTTAGAAGGGATTCTGCTGTTAGAAGGGTTGGTGCTCTGATCATGACTAAGGCTGTCCGTAGTAGGGTACTTAAAGATGCCAATGGTGATATTAGTGATCATCTGCGCAACCACATCCATTTAACAAATTGCATTCATCTGAAGAACCATATGCACAAGAACAGCCCCATTCTGGCTGATAGGTCGATCATGAGGGACCTTGTTGTGCTGCAGAGATCACGGTCTCTTCGAGACCCTTCTGCAAGTCCTCCATCGTGGCACTCACCTTCTGTAGTTGACATGCTTTTCAAAAGAGTTGAAAATGATGCCGCGTCTCAAGGGGGGAGAAGGTCTGTAGGTGTTGAGAGAAGGAAGGAAGGGAGAAGATTATCCGGAACTTCACCACCCTTGGTGAGTATAGGCTCATCAAGAGTTGCCCCAGGTGAGATTGGTAGGGGTAATGATGGGATGACGGCACCTAGTGAACGTAGTTGCAGGAGTGGAGTGGGAGATGGCAGGAGAGTTGGTAGAGAAGAATCTGGTAGGAAGAATGACAGGCCTGACTTTTTGGATGTTAATCAAGAGGATCCCCTCAATCAAGCAGGCAAAAGTTTGGCTGAAGATGTAATTTCAAGGCATTCCGAGTCTAAAGATAGAAAGAGCAAACAGAGGGGTAAGAATGTTCGAGATGCTCAAGTTAAGACCCTTTCTGAGCAGCTGAATGATGTTCCTTTGGATAGTGATGATTTAGCATCAACAAACATTCATTTTCGTGGAAGGTTTCCTAGACGGGAGAAAATTATTGAGGAGGCAGATTCCCGGGTGCGCAGTATTGGCAGCGGAATGAATAGGGGGAAAAGGCGTAAGTTTCGAAGTGCTCGAAGAACTAGGGTTGCTACAACATCAAGAGATATTGGAGCTGAGAATGAACTGTCTGTGGCTTCCAACTCAATAGCTCAGGCTTCAGCTCACCAGAAATATCACTTGGAAGAGGCTGATGAATTTGCAGATGAAAATGTTACTAGAGCTCCAAAAAATGGATGTGGCATTCCATGGAATTGGTCCAGAATTCATCATAGGGGTAAAACATTCCTTGACATGGCTGGAAGAAGTTTGTCTTGTGGTTTATCTGACTCAAGGTTGAAGAAAGGGACATTTGCTGCCAATGGAAGACATATTTCTGAGATGCCTGTGGCATCTGAGCAGTCAAGCTCATATACCAAGTCTGATGCAGAGGCACTGCCTTTACTAGTTGAGGCATCTGGATCTCACGCAAGCACTGAAAATGCTTGTTGGGATCATGACTATTCTGGGGAACTAGGCCTTTTTGGTGATAACTTATTCAAGCATGATATTGATTCTGATCTCGCTTCTGAAGCTAGATCTGGTGATCAGCATAAGTTGAGAGGGAATCGTCACAGTAGACACCAAAGTTTAACACAAAAGTACATGCCTCGAACCTTCAGAGACATGGTTGGGCAGAACTTAGTGGCACAAGCTCTTTCAAACGCAGTGATGAAAAGAAAAGTTGGACTTTTGTATGTGTTTTATGGTCCCCATGGCACAGGGAAAACTTCTTGTGCTCGCATATTTGCCAGAGCTCTGAATTGTAATTCTTCAGAACACCCAAAACCTTGTGGCTTTTGCAATTATTGCATGGCACATGATATGGGCAAGAGTAGAAATATAAGGGAAGTAGGTCCAGTTAGCAATTTTGACTTTGAGAGCATCATGGACCTACTCGACAATATGATTGTTTCCCAGCTTCCATCACATTACAGAGTGTTTATTTTTGATGACTGTGATACTCTGTCAACAGATTGTTGGAATGCCATATCAAAGGTCATTGACCGAGCACCTAGACGTGTGGTTTTTATCCTTGTCAGTTCCAGTCTTGATGTCTTGCCTCATATAATAATATCCAGGTGTCAAAAATTCTTTTTCCCAAAGCTGAAGGATGCAGATATTATATATACACTGCAGTGGATTGCAACCAAAGAAGGTCTAGAAATTGAGAAGGATGCTCTGAAACTGATTGCATCAAGGTCAGATGGATCTTTGAGAGATGCTGAGATGACTCTTGAACAACTTAGTTTACTTGGGCAGAGAATATCCGTACCTCTTGTTCAAGAACTGGTAAGCTGTTTACTTGTCTGTAATCACTGCTTCTTACACTAGAAACTATTTGTACTGTAAACTGGATTTAATTTTGTGAATTTGCTATGCATGAATTGCTCTGAAGTTAAATCCTTTCTTTCAGGTAGGGCTAATATCTGATGAGAAATTGGTGGATCTGCTTGATTTGGCATTATCTGCAGACACAGTTAACACTGTGAAGAATTTGAGAGTGATCATGGAGACAGGTGTCGAGCCATTGGCTTTAATGTCACAACTTGCTACAGTAATTACAGATATACTTGCTGGGACCTATGATTTCGCAAAAGAAAGGCGAAGAAGGAAGTTCTTCCGGAGACAACCATGTGAGAAAAATAATCTCATATTCGTAGTTAGCATACCAAGTTGTCAATTTAATTGTCATCATTTTGTAAACAAACACATAGATATATTTTTTTCTTTAGAATTGGTTGTCTAGATAAATATTTATATGACTAATTCCTCGAGTATACATTTCTGTCATAGTGGAGACTGGAAAATCTTGCTCTGTTTTCATATTACTGATTATGTTTTCATTGTTATCTTTCACTAATTGACGATGCTAATTTCTGATTCAGTGTCCAAAGAAGACATGGAAAAGCTGCGCCAAGCTCTGAAAACTTTGTCTGAGGCTGAGAAGCAGTTGAGGATGTCCAATGACAAGCTAACATGGTTAACAGCTGCCTTACTTCAGCTTGCTCCGGACCAGCAATATGTGTTACCAAATTCATCTGATAATAGTTTCAACCATAGTCCATTCACTCTAAAAGATGCAGATGCAAAAGAAGCAGCTAGACTGACTGGTAATCCTGTTGACATTCCTAACAAAGTGAGACGATTATCAATGGATGCTAGAATTGAAAATTTCCACGCTGGTAGCTCAGCAGATGGTATGACAAGGGGTCTTGGTTCTGAGAAAAAGCGACATAGTGTGTCTGGTTTTACTCCTCAACATACCCTGCATGCCACTGATAAGATTAGGATGAATGAGAGGCAGATTTTGGGTAAGAACCGGAAAGAAATTGGAGAGATATGGTTAGAGGTGCTGGAGAGAATACAAGTTACTGGTTTGAAAGAGTTTCTGTTTAAAGAAGGCAAGCTGATCTCTGTTAGTTTTGGGGCGGGTAAGTGGCTAATCTGCGCTATGCTTATTCAACAACACGATTAATAATATTTTGTATTCATATGATTATATTCTTCCCCTTAGAAATGTCATTCTGTGTTAGTATAACTTGTTGATGCATTTTAGATCTAGAAGAACTAGGGGATAAATTAGTCTTTGTTTTTTATTGCACTATGTACAGTATCATGCAAAAGGCCTGAAACTTCTTATATGCTAGAATTGTTTATGTTATTACGGTTTACCATGAAGTTAAATTGGCTAACAATCCTGTGATGCTAAGATTTTGGTAGTTTCAATTATCAGTGTTAATAATGCATATGTTTTCCATGAAATCCAGGTTGGGAATAATTAGGGGATATATTTTACTTTATATGTGATTATTCTGAATATAGTCTTGTCAACCAAATGGCCCGTATTACTATAATAGTGGATTGAAAAATGGGTCCTGGTCCTGGCATCAGTGTTTATGTTTTAGTATTTATCATAAAGTTAAGAGGGTTTAGTCTGCAGCACATACTATCTTATAAAAAATTACTATGAGCTCTTTCCTTTTAAATGCTTTTATTTTACTCTGTTCTTGTGCATCTTTGATGATGTATCTCGTTAATAGCTATTTTTCCATTTTACTGGTTGACCTTTTGTGTCTTGCTTAATGTTATTATGATAGTACTCCTCTTTTACTTTTATTTTACACATCAGCATTCATCATTTATCTAAGATATTTTATGCTTTTTGTTACAGCTCCAACTGTGCAGCTAATGTTTAGTTCTCAATTAACCAAATCTACTGCTGAGAAGTTCAGAGGCCACATCTTACAGGCATTTGAATCTGTCCTTGGATCTTCTATAACAATTGAAATTAGATGTGAGTCAAACAAAGACGCAGGCTTGGTTGTTCAACAACCTCTTACATTGGCTGCTACCAATGATAGTTTGTCTCAGATCAGAGACTTTAATGGACTTGGTGCTCTATCTCATCCAACATTAAGTGATTCTGTTGAAAAGAATAGGGGTGAAATTGTAGAAGAAGCATCTTCTCAAGTGGAGCACAAGAATAACGAGCAGCAGGTTGATGCTCATGGAACATCTCATAAAAATTTAGAAGGTACAAGTATAGGACAAACATCAGCTTCCCAAAAAAAGCCATTTGTTAAGTCACAGTTGGACCAAAGAAAGCTTATGGAGAAAAATCAAAGTCTAAGTCTTGTAAGAAGCAAAGTATCTCTTGCTCATGTAATCCAGCAAGCAGAAGGCCAGAGAAGTGGGTGGTCAAAACGTAAGGCAGTTTCCATTGCTGAGAAGCTTGAACAAGAGAATCTGTAAGTCGCTATTCCAATCTTTTTCACTTTTGATATAAACTATGTATAGTATAGAGAGGTGTGGGCCATAATTTGCAACGTGAATGGTAGGGGGATGGAATCTCAAATAAACATATTTACAAATTTCTATTAGTCTATGCATTGGTAATGTTATCTGGACAATAGGATAATGATATTTCACTATTGGTAACCGAGTTGGAACTTTTAGAAATATATCAGGTTTCCTATGATGGAATAAAATCATGCTGTGGTGCACGAGCAAGGTATTGCATGCATGCAGTATCGAATAATTATTGAATAGTATGATAATCTCATATAAACATATTAGTTACGAAATTCAATTAGTCTGCATCTGCCAGCCCGTCATAATATGGAGGTCATAATATGGAGGGGCAGGTTAGTACTTTCAGCTCGTTTTCTGTTTTGGTCCGTCCTACCAAGTCCGCTAGCTGTTTTACTAATAATTTTTTTTATTGTGCTATAATACAAAGAGTCAAAAAGACAATATATAATATAAAGATTTATGAAAAGAGAATTCTAAAAGTCCCAGTATCTCAAAATTCATAAAGTCTCAGTATTTTACTACTAAGAGAATTCAAAAAATTTTATAATTATTTAAACTCACATTACCGGAAACAATTTCCTTTCTCTAGCACAAACCCCTCTCTCTCTCTCCTCTCCTCTTACTCTTCATCTTTTTCTTGCTCATCCTTTTTTATAATGTAAAAATTATATATATCTCATATTTTTTTACTCTTTTATATTTGTTACATATTTTTTTTACTGTTACATACATGTATTTATTATTATATAAAATTTATCTTAATTTAATTGTTCTAAAATATAATTTATTAAAATAATATATCAAATTATATTATTAACTTGAAATATATATATATATATATATATATTGAATTATTGACAATGATAATTTTATTATTAAATTTATTGAAAGATTTGATTCAAAAATAATAAAATAAAATAAAAAATATGACGGTCCATCAGCCCGTCTTTTGGCGGGGCGGGTCGAGACCTGTAGCCCGCCATGACTATAGCGGGCTAGCCCGTCCGTCCCGCAAGCGGGCCAAAACGGCTGGACAGTGGCTGTATTTCCCATTTGGTAACTGAGTTGGAAATTTTAGAAATATATCAAGATTTTCTCTAATGGAATAAAATACTATAGTAGAGCACACACTAGGTATTGCATGCATGCAGAATTGAATAGTAGTTTCCTAGAATTAAACTTTAGGTTAAGATTATCTTTCCTTTTTAAGTTTTAGTCGATATGGGGATAGAGATTGTTAATGTGAATATTTTGGATTATTAAGCGTTGGAATTTGGATGTTATCTTGTTTGTTTCAGTGATATGGTAATCTCTGTTAAACTTCTAAATGACTATTTTCGAAAATCATTTACTCCTTAGGAGACTGGAGCCAAGATCAAGAAGCTTGCTATGCTGGAAAGCATCGAGGGCAACCCGGCGAAAGGTAATTCATTTTTGTGACCGCTTCTCATTTTATTCCAATTTTATTGAGTAAAAAAATCTTTAAATGAATGCAACGTATTAATTTTATGTTGCATTGGGAATCGGGGAATTTGGAAATTTTCTTTTGCTTTGATCTTTACCTCTATAGAAGGAGGCGTCCTTGTTAATCTAATCCTTTTCTTTTCCCTTTGGAGATATCTGGTGTCTCTTTCTAACTTGAAGTTTCTGGCTTTTAGAATTCTAGCTAAATTGGTTGCTATGGTAACTGGTAGTTTTGTTATTGACTTTCTAAACTATTCATAAAGGGCATGCATTGTGTAGCTTGGTGTAGCAATGCCCTATAAGATTGCAAACAAGTGTAACTTATCCATTGCTCGGCTATTAATTAAGAGTACCTCATTGTGTTAATGTTATAACTATTATATTTCTCAATGTTCATCCTATAATATAATTTCACCATCTGGTTGATGATATTTAGAATTTTAGATAAAAGCTGTTGGTTACTAAGTGAAACAAGTAAATAGAAGAAAGTTGTTGCATATATATTTCCTTATCCTTGCGATGAATGAAAAGATTTGATGGGTGTGCAAGTGCGTGTTTATTGATTGATCTTCTACGTTGGTGTTGCAGTGATGTCATATCCATTACTTTCATTCATGGCACTTGATTCAATTTTAGCATTATTATTATTAGTACATTATTAAGTATTTAATTAATTACTTTGGCAGCTGTCACGGTTGAAGATTCGAAGCCGAAAACCACGTGCACTGCTGAATCTGGTCTCATGTGGGAAATGTCTGTCTACAAAATCTCCGAGGTAGTTATGGATATGGGAATGTTGTGGGTTCATTCAAAGGTCATTTGTATTGCCTGTATTTAGGCTTTTTCCTGAAGGTTATATAGGGTCAAGCCTTTTTTTTCTCTTCTTCTTTTCATTTAATTCAATAAAAGCATGTAGTAATATATCAGATGAAGAAAATGTAGGAAAGTAGTTAAACTAGTAAATTCCATTTTAGTGATATGATGTTGTATATTTTTCCTTAGCATAAATTTGATGAAAATTTTAACTGAGGTCCAGTTTACAATTGTTAGTTACTATTGGTTAATTTGGTTTGTGGCCAGTGTCTTTTCCTTTGGACCTTCAATGGTAAGTGCTAAACTCTGGCGACACTTCTGCCCAGTAAATATGGATAAAGTTCCTGTAAAGTGAAAGAGTGCACTTAGGGAAGTTGAGGGTTTCTGGTTTTAGTGTGATAAAAATTAAAAAATCTAGTCAGCTAAAAGAAGAGTTAACTAGTTAAAAATGAGAAAAAAAACATAAATAAATTCAAGTTTTATTTATGAAATGAGAAATGTTAATGACATAATCTCAAACTTTTTTCCGATACATTGTGAAATTAACTAGAAGTTACACTTTTTTAATGGGTTCCACGATTTCTCTCCCATTTAGAAACAATATCCTCAAAATTGAAAATTTAGTTAAATAAGTTAAAATATATTAATAACTTGGGCTTACATTTGATTTGAATATAATTTTTTCATTTTGTAATAGAATAGTTGAGTTTATGATTTTTTTTATGAAATAAACAATAATATATATTCTAAACGTCAAAATAATATTTGTATACTTAAAAAAAGAAAAGAAAAGCAATAGGAAGGGTATGTTTGGGTTTAGGGATGTCAATTCAACCTGAATCCGTGGAGACTAACCCGTCTCCGTTCCGAGTTTGATAGGGAAAATTTGAGTTGATCGGGGCGGGTTCGAGTTTTTCCGTTTTAAAAAGTCGAGGGCGAGGCACGGGAATGAGTAATGCAATCCTCATTACGATCCCGTCTCCGTCCCAACTTTATATTTAAATTTAAATTTTAAAATATTAATATTTTAAAAGTATTTTCTTTTTTTTTTCTATTACATATAAGGTCATTTTTTTATATTTCACCAATTTTTATTTTTCTTCTACCCACTTTTTAATTTTTTTGGCTTTTTTAATCTTTTATATCAATTAATTTATTACATTATTCTCTATCTTACATTTTTGTTTTTCATATTTCCTTAATTTCTCCCATCAATTTGTTTTTTTTTCAATCTTTTCAACCAATTTGATGAACACAAAGTTATATTTTTTTATTCTTTATCTTTTTTTTAAAATATTTTACATAAATCTTAGTAGTAACTAATATTATTTTATTTATAATTTATATTTATTAGGTTTTATTATGTTATATTTTTTTATCTTATTATTCTTATTTATCATATATCAAATTTTATCTTAATAAAATAATTGTATTTTAAAGGATTAAAGGAACTGATAATTTAAACTTTTATTACTTCGAACTAATTGAATAAGAATTAACTTATTAAATATTTCCTTATAAACTATATATTTCATATTTTTAAATGACAACTTAAAAATGAATTAACTTATATATATAATCAAATGTTTGAATACAATATTATAATAATAATATTATAAGTATTCAAATATTTGAATACAATGTTATAACAATAATAATGTTATAAATAAAAAATGATTAAATATTTCTTTTACATACATATTTTAATGTAAATATAATAAATTAAAATGTATATTTAATTAATAATAATTATAAATATTTATTTATATATAAAAATATATATAATAAAATTAATTAATTATAAATGTAATTATCTTTTTAAAAATAATATAGATCGGGGACGCGGCGTGAGTAGGGAATCCGAAACCCAGCAAGGACAGGGATGATGACTTAATTTCTAACTCCGACGGAGATCGGGGATGGGGACATGAATGGTTAAAAAAGTTGGGGGCGGGGACGGGGAGACAAAACCTACCCCCGCCCCGCCCCGTTGCCATGCCTACTTGGGTTTGGTGGGCAAGATAAGTGGGTAAATTTAACTATCGGGTTTTTCTTTTCTACTTTCATAAAAATTTTAGACATCCTTTTACAATGATAAAAGGGTAGGTCAGGATGGTAGTTTATTGTAATATAGCAAGATGAATTAATATTTTTAGTCCGTCAGTTCGTTCTAGCTCGTTCCACCAAATTTGTCAAATCAGTCAACCTCGTCGTATCAACTCCCAAGACAAGATGGACCGACTTGTAGCTCACCTTCTTAATAAAAAAATATTTTTTTTTATTATAAGACAATTAATCATATAGACAATATATAAAGTTAAAAATTAGAAAAAGTAATTAAAATAGTCTCACTCTCACTCAAGACATATTTTTCTTACTAAAACACAAACTTCTTTTTCCTCTTCTCCTTGCTTCTCCTTTCCTTTTTGTTGTTCCTTTCCTTTTTGTTGTTCATCATCTCCTCCTTATTTATTATAAGTACCTGATAGTTCTTATCCTAATAACTTGAATTAAATGTGTAAAAATTACTCAAGGAGAGAATAATATAAAGTTTTATCAAATAAAAAAGATATAGATATTTAAATTTTTCAATATAAAAAATATAAATTTTATAATTTTTAACGTTATTTATATATTTGTTATTATTTCTTATTGTATAAATTTAATTATTTTTTTAAATTATAATTTCTTAAAACAATATGTTGATTTATATTATTAACTTAAAATATATATGTTGAATAATTGACAAATAAATGATAATCTTATTATTAAATTTATTAAAAATTTTGATTTTAAAAAAATATTTTAAAAAATTATGACAGACTAACCTGTCTGACTTCATTTTTGGCGACCAAAGACAGGACTGGATTGACCCATTTTTGACGGGTCAAAGACAGTATCCACTTATCTATTTTGACATCTTTACATCTTTTATTTATTTTGGAGTGAAATCTTAGGGATTATGGAAAAGTGTATTATAAAATGCAGAAAAAGTGATTGAAGAATTTTAAGAGATTTTGGAATAAATAACCTAATCACCTACCGTATCTAAGACTATGTTTTGCAATCTTTGAGTGCGCATTTTTCTAGTATTTAATAGGTTTTGATGCAAAATATCATATGCACTCTATTAAGCTACTTACTCAAACAAGTAGTTTTTAAGGCTTGTAAAAGAATGTCTAATTTTGTCATCGCATATAAAATATATTAGATAGTAATATACAAGAGGGATTTGTCTCTTTTGTTTTAGTTTTTATTTCAAGATTAGATAGATTATGAGCTAATAGGTTAATGTGATTTTGTTTACATAAAACTTATCATAAGTTATGAAAATTAAGAGTACTATTTTTCAAAACATAAAACAGGAAAAAAATAGATAGATTAAACTTGTAAGTATATTTTGAAAGTTTTATTTGATTTTTGTGGTAGATTTTTTAAAATTAATTTTGTAAAAATGTTTTTACATAAAATGTTAGATAAACTTGATCTTTTAATTAGGTCACAACATACTCAGTACTTAAAAAGTAATCTTATTAACTGATTATTTTTATAAGTCTTAGCTTAATTGAAAAATCTATTTTAAAAACACAAATCCCTATTCGGTGATTTGATTTATTCTCTCAGGAAAGTTCATTTTCTAGTAAAATACAAAGAAGAGATTTTTATTTATCGAAGGTGAAACAATACTTCTATATCAAGACATTAAGTTTATGTTAATTTGTTATTTTTCAAATTACTAAATTAAATCATTTTAATTTTTATGTAAAGCTAAAATGAAAGTTTCAGGCTTAATTGTCTTTTTAATATTTATTATTATTTTTATTTAATTAAGTCATTTTATTTTTAAAGTTAAATAAATTAGGTCATCCTATTAATATCTTTATATTTAGAATTTTTCATTTGATATTCAAACATTTGGAGGCGTATGGACGTTGGGGCTTGATTTTTTTTTTCTTTTTAATTATGAGTAAAAATATAGGTGAAATTTTGGAAAATATTAGAGATTCTAAAACAAGTTAGATTAGGTTTTGAAAAGGGGAAAATCAGAACTTTATTTCGTTTTGGATGAAATTTAGGTTTCGTCAGCAAGTTCCGAATGGAAAAAAGTTGAAGATAAATTCAATTTTTGAAGATTTTGAAGTAAAAAAGAAAAGGAAAAAAGGTTTTAAGTAGAAGAAAATTGATAGTAATATCAAATTTGCCTAATTTTAAAATTAAAAGAACTTAATTGGAAAAGAAAAATAAATCGCTAACTTTATTTATAAACTAGGTTGGGTTGGGTTGAATGATTAAGAATTTATCATCATGGCTTAAAAATATGATTATTATTTTTTTTCTGTGGTTCTTGTATTATCTTATTTCAATGGATCAATTATTTGGTTTAATGATAGAATTGGAGCATCGAAGAGGAAATTATGATTGTAGTAATTATCAAATATGTAAAGACTTTTAGGTTGAGTAGTTGTGGGAAATATAATATGATAGTGGCACGTTTATCAGCCATGGCTTCATTTTAATTTATAGTAATATACCAGTCCATTACTTTAATATATAGCAGACCTTGACTTTAATTTAACATATATTCATAGACCATGACCGTACTTTAATAAATAGTAGTAGACCATGACTCTACTTTAATATATAGAATTTAGAAATAGACCATGACTTTGCTTTAATGTACTACTACTACTACTATTACGTAATTCATGACTTTATATTGAAGCTTTGTTTGTGTCAGCTTTGCTTGCGTCGATAAGCCCAACGAAGCAATTTGCAATTAATAACAAAGTATTTTATTTTTTATTTTCCAAAATTTATATTAAATAAAACAATCTATTTATTATTAGAATACATAAAACAATTTATGGTTAAAAAAATATATCAACAATTTTATTTTTTTAATTAATACATCATTGACAGTGGAAAATGATAATTAGTTTGGAACAATTTTTTCATAAAAAATATAAAGTAGAACAAAATATTTAAAATACCTGAGAAAAATGGAAAAATTATAATTATTATTTTTATTTTTCAATATGTAAAATAAGAAAAAAAAACAGTAATTAACATTTATCTTAAGGACATAGATGGTATGAAAATGAACCGTTTTTAATAAGCACAATTTCTGAATGGACAAAGTAAGGATAAGGATGAGCGTGCCTGAATATTAGGAGGGGACTCTTTAATGCTAGTATAATATAGAGTACTAAATCATTTGGTGGAAACAATAACAGAGCTTAAATACTTAAGTTAGATTTATTAATTTGGATTAATGGCGTTGTTTTCGCTGATTATAATGGTGGGTCCCGCCTTTATATTTTTTCTCTCAAAAACTTTTGCAGCTTTGTCTGTTGG